AAGGTATACAAGGATCTTGGCTCTGAAGAGTTGCAGCCCATCAAAATTGAACTCCTTTTGAAGCATCCCTTCATTCAAGACTTAATTAATAACTACCAGGGGTACAAACTTCCTGTGAGTATTCTTTTTCTTGTGAACTACACAGTATCTGGAGTAGCAGTAGCAGTTATTGGTGGTAGTGGTGGTAGTGGTAAGAATAGTAGCAAGTAGTGGCCTCTACTACACACCATGGCTCTGGGTGTGTAGGAGAGGCACTGAAGGCATGATTGGCCCAGGGGGTTGTGCTGTCTGAGGCCAAGTACCCAGCCCATTTTCTATGAAAAATAACAGAAAAGTTAGGAACCAGAAAGTAGGATTCCTTTTGGTCTGTCATTGGTATCCATTTTTATTTCATTCGCCAAGCAGCTGTTTCAGTTGCCAAACAACTGAACAAAATTAAGATTTTATTTCTGAACTTTGTGTAATAAAAGCGATCATTATTAGTGATACCTTTCCGCTGTGGTAGAGTTGGGTTCAGCTGGTTCTTCAAACTCCTGCCTGAAGTTAAACCATTGGAAAGCAAATGTTGTCTCCCTCCAGGATCATGATCCATGAACTTTAAAACCTGAATTGCCCTGGGACCAATTCTATTATCAATAGGCACATCGTACTAGTTTCCTGAGAGTCAACAGTTGGATAAACAGCTTGCAGAGCATTGTTTGCTGTCAGGGGCTTCCTCCCCATTTAAAGTTTGATCAGTCCCTCTCTTCCCTGAAGACTCATGGACTAATATCTGTAAATAACAAACAGGATGAATGAGGCTAAGAAAAGATCAAACCCTACCCCTAGATTAATGGTATGTGGAAATGACCTTGGGAGACGGGGCCCAGAGATGCTGCCTAGGAAACAGTCAGATAAGAGACAGCATAGCCTACAGCTGGATAGTGGGCAGGGCAAGAGGCTCAGAAGAGACCCTCCCTAATTTCTCAGGATATAAAGGAGATGGGGAGAGAATTGTATTTTCAGACCTGCAAGATTCTGTTAATGTAGCCTTACAATAAAGTAGAATTAGCTCTTCTGGTAGTATTTCCTGTCTGGTGTACCTGGTAAGACTGACACTTTCCTTCTCATTTTTTGGCCCCACCACAGCTGGAAATATATATTTATTTAAGTTTTTGACAATCATATAGATGTCACTTCCATCAACAACACAAGGCAACTCATAACTTAAGAAGTATAAAACCAAATAGTCCACTAAAACAATAATACAATACAATATAATCTAAATAGCATAAAATCATATCCACATAAAATGTCAATTAACTATCTCAGCTTTCAGCCAGCAATAAATCTAACATTAAACCAGACACTCAAAATCACTCTCCTCAGTTATAGAAAAGAACCTTTTTAATAGCCTTAATGCATGTCAGTGAGGAAAGAGCCATTGTTTTTTTTTTAAAAGAACTTTATTCAATTTCAACAGAGTAAAATATAGGAAAATAGAGAAAAAAGGAGATAGAAAAAAGGAAAAGATCAGAAAGAGAATGAAAAAATGAGAAGGAAGAAAAAGGATAACTTCTGACTTTCTTTGGTACAGGCACAAATATGTAGTACATTCACCTCTTACTCTAATGTTTAAAGTGATATAAAGTAGGTCTAAAACGATAAAAAATGTAAGAAAAACTAGTACAAATATTTCTGTAATAAAAAATATCAGTTGTCAAATCCCAAAATTAAAGTTTCATTTTTTTCAGTTTCAAGCAAAAAGTCCAAAAGTGGTTTCCAAGTAGAAACAAAGCCAAAGACTTTTCTTTAATCAAAGTAGTTAGTTTTGTCATCTCTGCCAATTCCATTAATTTCACTATCCACTGTTCAGCTGTAGATATGTGTATAGCCTTCCATTTCTGCATATATAAAAGTCTCACTGCTGTTATCATATAAAGAAATAAAGTCCCATGTTTTCTTTCAATCTCTTTATCCACCATACCTAAAAGAAAAACCTCTGGTTTCGATTGTATATCCATTTTTAAAATTTTCTGAATCAAAATACATTCCATATCCCAATATTTTTAGCTTTCTCACAAGTTCACCAAAGATGATTGACGTTGATTACATTTCCAACATATATTTGACATTCCTTTAGACATTTTAGATAATTTATCTGGTGTTAAATATCAATGATACATCATTGTTATAAAAAAAATTATTTCAAATTGTAGTTAAGTGTACATTTCAAGTCTTTATTTCATATATTCTCCCATTGATCCAACATTATATTATATCCAATTTTTTTTACCCACTTGAAGACACAATCTTTAACATATTCATCTTCCATATTCAACAGAAGTTTATGTATCTTAGCAATAACATGTTCATCATTAGTATACAAAGCAAACTCAAAATCAGTTTTCTCATAAGTAAAATCATAACTTGTCCAATTTAAATCTTTCTAACAACTATGCATAAGTAAACCATTGGCAAGTATGACCTTCTAATTCTTCCCTCTTCTTCAGTTTAGGTTCTCCTTCAAAAAAGTCAATAAATTCTCATATGTCAACCATGCTTGTTTGACTCATTTCTCTTCTATGGAAAGCTTCTTGAGGTGACAACCATAAAGGAATTTTAGGGGATAATCTTGCTTTATATCTGTTCCAAACTCTCAATATAGCATGTCTAATAAAATGATTCTTAAAATTCTTAAAATCAGTATTAACCTTCACTTTATCATACCATAGATAAACATGCCATCCAAATCTTAAGTCATGTCCTTCTAATTCCAATAACCTCCTATTTTTCAAAGTCACCCAATCTTTCATCCATAGGGATAATCTTGCTTTATATCTGTTCCAAACTCTCAATATAGCATGTCTAATAAAATGATTCTTAAAATTCTTAAAATCAGTATTAACCTTCACTTTATCATACCATAGATAAACATGCCATCCAAATCTTAAGTCATGTCCTTCTAATTCCAATAACCTCCTATTTTTCAAAGTCACCCAATCTTTCATCCATACCAAACAGCGAGCATCAAAATGCAGCTTTAAATCAGGAAGACCTAACCCTTCTCTTTCTTTAGCATCTTGTGAAAGTTTATATTTTATTCTTGTTTCTTTACCTTGCCATACAAACTTAGAAATACCTTTTTGCCATTGTTTAAATGGTACATCAGTTGTCAATATTGGTATTGTCTGAAATAGAAATAACATTCTAGGCAAAACATTCATTTTAGTTACTGAAATTCTACCCAGTAATGACAGTTGTAATTTATCCCATCTTGATAAATCTTTTTTAATATCATTCCAAACTTTAACATAGTTATTCTGAAACAATATATAATTCATATTAGTCAGTGAAACCCCTAGATATTTAACCTTTTTCTCAATTTTAAAACCAGTCTTTTTCATCAAAATTTCTTGATCTTATATAGTCATGTTTTTAACCAACATCTTTGTTTTTTGTTTATTTACTTTAAATCCAACTAATGCACCAAAGTCTTTCAATTTCTTCATTAAATGTTCTATAGCAATTTGGGGCTCCTGCAAAATCAGTACTAAGTCATCAGCAAAAGCCCTCAGTTTATAAACCTCTTCTTTTATTTTCAAGCCCTTTATATTCTTGTCCTATCTAATATCTCTATTCAACACTTCCAAAACTAAAATGAAAAATAAGGGGGATAAAGGACATCCTTGTTTTGTCCCCTTCTGTATCTCACAAGGTTTAGTTAAATCATCATTGACAATAATACATATCGCTTTAATCTCTTGAAGAAAGTCTCTCCAAAATCCATATTTTCCAAGACTTTAAACATAAATGGCCAGTTCAAGTTATCAAAAGCTTTCTCTGCATCAAAATAAAAAATGCTGCTTGCTTCTCATTATGTTGTTGTAAATGTTCTATTATATACAATACAGTTCTCCCATTGTCTCCCAGTTGTCTTCTGGGTAAAAAAACACATTGATCATCATGGATAAAGTCCTGTAATATCCTCTTCAGTCTATCCACCAATACTGATGTAAACAGTTTATATTAAAGATTGGTCTATAATTCTTAGTTATAAACCTGTCCTTCTTTTGGTGATAATGCAATATTAGCCTCTTTCCAAGTCTCTCACATAGCAGAACCCCCCAAAATAGAGTTCATCACACATTTAAATGGTAATAAAAGTTGATCCTCAAAACATTTGTAGTAAGAACTTGATAATCTATCTGGTCTAGGAGCTTTCCCTATTTTAGACTTTTTTATAGCTTCTGATATTTCAAAAGTAGTCACAGGACTGTTCCTAATTTGTTTCTGAGACTGTGAGAGTTTTGGTTCTGTTTCTTTAAATAATCATCAATCTGTTCCAGGGAAACATCTTGTTTTTTATACAAATTTGAAAAGAAATTATAAAAGGATTTCTGAATACTCACATTATCTGTAAGTACAGCATCACCTTCCGGAATCTTCATTATCATTTTATTTTCTTTCTCCTTTCTCAGTTTATATGCCAGCCATTCCCTGGTTTGTTTGCAAACTCAAAATGTTTCTGTTTCACATATTTTAATTTTGTCTCTATTTTTTCTTCCAGTTAGCATAGATAGTTGTTGCCACAGAAGTTTAATTTGGTGTAACGTAGTAAGGTCTGCTGGTGCATTTTGTAAGTCATCTTCTTTTTTTATTTCGTCTAAAATAGTTTGAGTTTTTTCTTGAGATTTTCTTTTTAAGTCACAATTATGTTGGATGAAATAACCTCTCATCACTGCTTTACTGGCATCCCAAACAGTTTTTAAGTCAGTGCCTTTATCCAAATTGTTATCAAAATATTCATTTAACTTATTTGTACAATCATTCAACACCAATGCTCTTTATAATAATGTTTCATTTAATCAACACCTAAATGTTGTAGATTTCTTCTTAAATATCAATTTAACTGGGTTGTGGTCAGAGAAAGTTTTTGGTAAAACATCCACCTTACTAATCTTACTTGCCAAAGTTTTTGAAATCCATATCATATCAATTCTGGAAAAAGATTTGTGTCTTTCTGGAAAAAAAAATTCCATTTTTCTGTCCAAGAATCTATCAAAGTCAAATTTTCAATCAAATCAAAAAGGGATTTAGGTAACTTTCCTTGGTTAACTTTAATTCCTTTACCTGGAGTTCTATCAATCTGAGGCAAAGTCACTCCATTCCAATCTCCCATCAAACACCAATTTTCATAAGAAAAAGGTA